CCTTGACAGGGTTGTTTGCTCCGATCCCACCGGCTGCAGCTTTGATATCCCTGGATCTTTCGTTTCATGCAGCAAAATACCGCCTCGGAGATATACCGGATCCGGCGTAATGTAGACCCCTTAAAGAACCCCCTCCTTCCTTTTTGTGTACTGTTGAGAATGAGGAGCTTATCACAGGTTGTGGCTTAAAGAAGGGGGGGGCTGTCTCAGTAAGGGGTCTACCTTAATTCCTGGATCCTGCTCGTTTAGGATCAAATCCAACTGAGTTTAAGCAGCCTGGTTTGCCAGCAAGTTTTTGCTCACTTATGCATTCGTTGTATCCTGATTCACATCAACACAGTCATGAACGTCCTTGCATGTTCCGCCATCTCGGTTTAGTTGATTCCTTGCAAACCGCAGCCGTGGCTGGATCCCAGAGCTGCCGGCTTTCGTCCTGGTCGCTCCGGGGCCTTGGACCATCGCACGAGCCCTCTTGGCACAAGCCAGAGATGAGCGATTGCGCCAGAAAGCAACGTCTGTGTGGGTTTGGATGGTGAGCATAACCGAGCCTACTCTTACTGGCTACTATGCTACATCTGCTGCTGCTACTATTGGCTACTACGACGACTGCTACTACTCTGCCATCACCAGCACCACTACCTGCACCCACGACTGCTGCCACCAAAGTTGGCACTAGTACGGCAGCACTGCACCTGTGAGAATCAGTTTTCTGCTCCTGGTCCTGCAAGTCGAACGAGAAAAGAGCAGAGTGCTATGCACAGCCCTCAAACAGCCATGCAAAGGTCCCAGTATGGATCATAGCAGCAGTGAACATTAAACGTCATGTTAGCATGCACCGGGTTGGCCTGACTAGCAGCTCGCAAGAGAAGTAGCTATGCTAATGGCAGTAAGGATGTTGGCACTGCCAGAAGCAGAAAAAGACAGCACATAGCGGCTTAAACCTGCTGACAGCAAATACAGAACTGAATGACATCGGCACAGAGCAAGCCCTTCCTTAAGGTGACAAGGCGATTTGTCTCGTAACACGGTACGATAAGAGCAAACAAAGGAACGATACACCTGATTTCCCTGCAAACCGACAAGAGTAAAAGGTCCCCAGCAGGATGTGAGGGGAGGGGTTAGTGATGCTTGTAACGCTCGTTCACGTGATGCGGCAATAACAACAGCAACCTCAATCATAGTCCTATGAAGGCACCCGCTGCCGGTGAACTGTTGCAAAGGCTTATCTAGCAGCAGCGAGCAAAACCGACCCACAATCTGAACCAATGTCTGTCAAGCAGGACCACCTCGTTGAGTGCTACAGCGCTGCAAGACTGGAATCACGCCTCGGTCTGCTGCAACTCGGCGGAAGCAGTTTAGAGTCGTTGTGAGGATTCGGGTCACCTTGGCACATCGTGATTTTTGGAATACCTCACTGCAGTACTATTGTGTACTCCAGTCGAAAACCGTGACGGTTTATGAGCCACTGGTACGTACAACTGACCCGGATGAAATTCATCCGTTCAGGAGGCTACTGGTACCACTGTCCTAGCTGCAATCAACAATGCGATCTGTGCTTAGCCGACCCAAGAGTGTCTCAACACGTTCCCAGTGAGAGTACGGGGCAACAGTGGCAGGTTTTCATACTTGTCATGGTCGCTGTCGTCAGGATACTCCGGTGGGTCACAGCCCGCAAAGGTCCCCATGGCAGTCGGACATCGTCATAGTCATCGTTGCCCGTGATAAGCACATCCGTCGCCGCAGCAGTGGCCAGCAGTTCGACTCGATGCTGCAAAAGTAAGCTCCACTCTAGACAGGCAGGGCCATCTTGTGGTGCTTGCGATGCTTCTGGGATGCGACTACACCCTCGGAGTCCACGGCGTGGGGATTGTGAACGGGTGTCTTGGCTGACCGATCCTTGTGCGGGGCTTATACAGTGATGGACCTTCCTCCATCTAGGATCTAGAAGTTGGGAAGAAAGTCCCCCACCCAAGAAATCAGCATTGCTGATTCGACTCGCCGTGCTTCGGGTCTGCCACCTGGCAGGTTGGAGATTGTTCGCGCCTTCTCCCCCGAAAGAGACGGCATGACCAATCTGGAGGCTTGAAGAGACAGTTGGCGCGAAACAACCGTCACATGGATGCCGGGGGGTGTGTGTCCAACATGCTCAGGTAGAAGCCTTTCCCCAGGTATGGCTCCAACGCCTCAAAGACTTCCGCTCTTGGTCCCAGAACGTCGCCAACTGGGGGGAGGCACCGAGGGGCCGGTCAGGCTGCTCCGCTACCGACAGATTGCATTCTGCCTGGACTGCAAAAGTGTCGGTCACTGAAGCCCTGGCAGGAAAGCGCAGGCATCGTGGATGCAGATGGCAAAGCAATCGCACAGCAGGGTGCTTAGCGAGGCTCAGGAATGCGTTGCGAGGAGGATACAGCCCAGCAGCACACACCACTGTTGCTTCGCCGGTTTTTGCCACGACTTTGCAGCTCCATGAACTCATGATAGCAAGGCTTGGTGCCAAAATCTAGCCTCCGGAGAACTATCTCTGTCAGATGTCAATCGCAGGGGCATCGGAATGAACCGTTCTTGGGCCGTGGACGATACAGAGGAGTTGTGTTTCTGCCCACATGCCTTAAGCCCAGGACTGTTCCCTTCAAACCAAACCAAATCAGATCAGCAGCGAAGCTATAATTCCTTACTAAACATATACTTACACATACACTAAATGATGCTATCTTATCTATGCTGCATTCGAGTATAGGTATACTAACGCAGTCAAGCATGTTCCAATGGATCCTCCTGGCCATGCGCTTGCGGAGCAGCCTGCATCAAGATGGGATGGCGAGGCTGGCCTGGGCGTTTGTGGCAGAAGCATCTATAGGGGTTCCTTAAAGGGATCTATGGGGGTTCCTTAAAGGGATCTATCATCTTCCGCATACTTCCGCCGCTGCTGCTTCTACTAGTACTTCTACTTGTGCTTATTCTTCTACTACCTCTCCTCCTGCTGCTGCTGACTGGTGAAGTTCAGAACACCAGACATCGTAGCATCGTAGATGAGCAGCCGCAGTGTATAGTGCCATCATGGCTGATATTAGGTAGACACGAGCACGTCAATGATGTCAGTGTTCCTGGACGTGCCCCGGAAACCTGCTCTTTGTGCGCACTTGGACAGGCGGCACTGGATGCCGCGGTGGCAGTCCTTATCCGCGGTAGCCAAGGAGTTGTTTGGGCAAAGAGCCTGGCGTTTTTGTGATTCCGCTCTCAGTTTGGAGGTAGTTCTAGTGTTTTTGTCGCTATCAGGACCGTGCAGGAATCTTTAGAATTCATGGGAGGTTTTTGCCAGGCCATGCCTGCGGCGAGGTCATGGTCTGTTGGCGATATGCAAACTGCATCAACAGAACAGGAACAGGGGCAGGAGAAACACTTTGAACATTTAAGTACGATTAACCCAATCCAACACCATTTGGCTGACTCTTCACCGGATGAGAATATTGTGGCAGGCTGAGTTCTTTGGAAGGCAGGGTCCTTCCGTGCTCTGCGAAACTGTGCACCACTCAGCGAGTCATGCGCCTGGTTTTGGATCACAATCCGGCGATCCTACGCCACACTTCGAACCACATGCCTCCCCTGGTTTGTCCGAGTGTGAGCGCCGAAGCCACACGTGTGTTTTCGTGCAGGAAGCTGGGCCTTTTGTCAAGCACCTTGTGCACAAAAAGATTGCCAGGAGGCAAAACGGGCGCATGGTGATGTCAGACATGGGGATCATCCAGCTTGAAGCGGAAGGCGTCTACCCGTAAACAATGCCCTTCACGGGCTGGACCTGAGGCGGCTCCGTAGGAGCCTGCTGGCCGGCGTCCGGCCAAGGCTTTTAATTAGGTGCATGCGCGAGAGCCTATGGCAGCTGTGAGGCAACGAGCGAGAAGCCACATGTGTGTCGCGTCTCCTGCCCTGCTGGTTCAGCTTGGTTTCACGTCAGCCACACGATCGTGTTAAACTTAAGCCAAGCCTCAAGAAGCAGAAGCCGAAGCTTCTGTTCTCTTCTGCTAAGGCAGCGGCACCTAGAGTGGGGGTAGAGGTCTGAGTCATGGGTAATGAGTAATGGTAGGCAAGTAAGGTCAAAGAGTCCAAGATCCTTGTATGGTATAGCTATGAGCCAGGTGATACTATCACCCAAAATCTTATGCTACTTCTTCAAGTGCCAGTATTCAACCATATAACACCCTACACATCCTTTGAAGAACCCTCATAAAGCGGCCGAAGAAGGACTGAGAGCTCCGTTGGCGGAGCTCCCCATGGTTCAGGCGGTTTCTGAAAATGCCAAGTATTCTAATTTAGGGTTTTGGGGTCTAGGGTCTCAAAAGACTTCGGGCGTAGGGTTTCTTTAGCTTTTGAGTGCATTGAAACTTCCATTACTGTCAGAGTCCGTTCGGGTCTCGTTTCCGGGTTGTCAGCATCGCTTTGGAGTGCTGAATGCGATGGGTTTGACATTGCCCCGATAGTCAGAAGAGTGGCATAGTGTAGGTGGCATTTGGTGCTTTCTCTGACATCTGAAAGTCTGCCATCTTCTGGGGTGCAATGCTGCGAGGTGCTTTGGAACGGGGGGATGCGCGTACAAAGACGACCCATCGTCGTACAAGATAATGTCTCTCTGCTTTTAGGCTCGCCTCGTCCTAGCTGAGCGCCCAAGCGCTCTTCGGCGATGCCATCAGAACAGCAAACACCGCAACCATTAGAGCCAGACTTGCTGTTTGCTACATCCTCTGATCATCAGGACAGTTATTGCGAATGTTAAGCATCGCCCCCTGCCACATTTTGGACCGGCGCCGTTATCATCATCACCAGGAGGTGCTGCATTATCCTGTCGTCATCCCCATAATTATCGGTGTCGTCGCTACCCCTGCCGGCAAACTCATCGGCAACAACGCAACCTTCAGCTCGTTTTGAGGGCACGCCCGCCTGCAGTGCAGGTCCTCGCAGACCGTCCAGCCATCGCTGTGGGCACACTGGTCCTTTGCAGTCTGCTCATGGGTGATATCTACGCCTCCGTAAGAAGCTGGGCTCGCAGCAGACTTTCGGTCGGGTTCAGGGTGACTTACCAGAAGGCTCTTTTGCACCAAGGCATGAGGGATTGCAATTTAAGCAATTTCACGGCTAGGTAGTCACACTGTGATAACATGAACAGGGAGCTTGTCGTTGTGGTAGCAGAATCGTCGCAGTAACGTCCCAGCCCAAAAAGTGAGTGGATGACCTTGCTGCGTGGAAGCAGTGGATGCCAAGGCTATGCAGGCCTTTCCTGGACGAGTCCTCACGCCCTGACCTTCAGAGGCACCTTCGCCACTTGCCAGCAGGCAGCCGGTAAGTGGTAGAGTCTGGCAAGAATTTTACCCGTCCGGCAAATCTCTCATCTAGTGAGCTGTTCTGAATCCTGACTCCCTTGACATGAGGCCCCAAGAGACAACCAAAACTCGAGGATCCTCAACTTTGGGGGGGGTCCTTGAGCCCAAGAAGAAAGATTCAGAAGCACTTAAGTGTGAGAGCCTTGTGCACATGTGTTCTGTGTTCGGTTGAAGGTACCTATGTTGCAACCCTTCATCCTAGAGATGACAGAAAATGAAGAGCGACACAGAAGAGCTTTTTGCTGCCCAGGTCTTGGCAGCCATCTCATGGCAGCGATCCTTGGACTATGTTGGAGTCAGAACAGCTTGAGTCGGGCTTCTATAGCTTTGCTCACATAAGTCGGAGCCCCGAAGAGCATTTTGCTAAGCAATGCTGCCAACCATATGGTGGGGGTTCTTGTTGATATTCTGCCTGGCCCAGTGCTGTAAGGTGCCGTAGTTGAAGATCCAGGACGTGTTCCGGAAGACTGGAGGATAAGTTCAAGCGGGCAGCCGATCTTTGCAGCATGCCCGATTTCAGTACTGCAGAAGCAGCGGCGCTCAATGTCGAGAATCGGTGGCATGCCAAACCTTTAGCAACAACAAATGTTCAAAAAGTATTTAATCAGAGCTGCATCCAGCGCGAAAGCTTTCTTCTTGGGATGTTTGGTGGTAGCTGTGGGCTGCAAGCCGCTGAGTTGCGAAAACTTGGCATCATCCCGAAGTCGGAAACCAACCGTTCTTCTGAGTCGTGGCTTCAACCTTGGCAAAAAAACCCGTACTTGCGGGCTTCGTCCTTGCCATGTAGGAGGGGAAAAAACCGTACTTGTTGGTGGTCTGCGGCTAGTTTCGGAGGATCTCCCTGCTGGTGCGACTCTGTCAGCTGGGCGGGTGGGAAAAACCCCTAATGCGAGTGTGTGGGTCGAAAACCCCCTAAAATGTTCCCACTAGATCGTCTCAGTCATCAGACCTGGAACCACATGCCTCGCCTGGATTGTCCGAGTGCGAGCGCCGAAACCCCAAGCTCCGTCAGTGAGGAGAAGGAGGGAGGCCTCCATTTCCCAAAGAAGCGCACAAGAATCTCGGCTGCATCTCGCTGTCTTTAGCAAGTCCTGGTATTTAAGAGAGTGCTAGCGGAAGTTGAGGAGTCGAGGGTTTGGGAGTTTAGGGATTAGAGAGAGAGAGAGAGAGAGAGAGAGAGAGAGAGAGAGAGAGACAGTGCGTCCAGCCAACAACGGGCTGCCCCCAGCGGGGGGTTCGCCCCTCAAGCCTGGCGAAAGAAAGAGAGAGAGAGAGAGAGAGAGGGACGTAGAGTTGAAGGAATTGTGGTTCGGGGATTAAGGGTCATAGGTGTGGCACGCACTTCCCCGAGCATAAAAGACACCTTTAGCACAACAGCCTCCAAATCAAGTATGCTTTGTTTTGTATGGGTCATCAGACTCAGTAACTAGGTTTATGAACGCTCCCCGACCGAAATGTTGTTACCCCTGCTTGCTGGGCCCCTCACCCTCCCAGTAGTCTCTCTTTCCCACCAAATTGCAAGGCCCGGGTGGACGGCGGTATTTCTGCAGGAAGGCGCCGAAAGCTGCGTTGAATGAGGGGATCGAATTTCAGTGCGATCACTCCCTCCACTCACTAGATGACACTACTTGCTCTTCCGCGTCGGAGCAGGGCCCAGGCAGTCTCGATCCATCGCTGTGCCAGGAGGGGAAGTTCCGGCCCGAGCGTGCGCATTTCTGCAGCGTTCTGGATCGGAACGTCTTGAGGAGCGGCTATTTACTAGATACTATGGAGGCCTTATGACTTTAAGGAAGGTTTCGAGGGCTTGTAAAGTCATGCACTCATACAGGTACATGTTGAGGCTGGTACCTGGCATCGCTAGATAGATGCACACGGAGGCCGTGCACATGCATGCGCACGAACATCTGAACATGTGCAAGCAAATGTGTACACACACACACACATACATGCACACATAGATACGTGCACAGGTCAGATTAAGTCTGTCACAAGTCAGAAATGTCCTGTGGCTGCTGCGGTAGGAGATTGCCCATTCCGACCCAGCTTTAGCTTTGTGAAGGATGGACCACTACTGTGTCTGGCTCGCCAACTGATTCTTGGCTTGCATGGTTCTTTTCACGCAACTATATAAGCACCAAATCCGACCTGTTTCCGCCGAGAAAGCGCGCAGCTGGTAAGGGGCACGTTGGTTGAAGATGCTTGTATACGTCGCCAGCTGGACTTTCTAAGGTGTTGGCTACCACAACCACAAGTATTTCTACCTTGCCTTATTCTACTCTGCTGTTGCTTCTACCGTGGGAAATGCGGTGCCGCACTTGGATCTCGTTTTAGTTTCTCACGTCCATGACGATTGAATTTCTGAAGCACCAACAATCCGACACAGCCCTGGCTCCAGGTGCTGGTGCAAGCTTTCCTCCATCCATCCCATCTACCTGTTGTGCACAGGGTGATCCTCTTGCCAGGCGCAAGCTCCAAGGTTGCATCCGTCACTTGGCTTCTTCGGTCGCAGACGCGCCCTTGCAGCCATCTCGGTACTTTGCCAGTTTGAGTTTAGTTTCCCGGTTTTCCCTGCAATGGCCGCAGTGATCAACTGTCTTTGCCCAGGGCCCAAGGCCAGGCCACGACGCACGGGAGGGAGAGCCTTCATGATTTGGCTGAGTTGCTACTAGTTACTAGTAACTAGTAGCTGCCGACTGCATGTTCAGTGAACAACCCCGATGAGCACTTGAGCCTGCAACTGTGAGTGCACCAGGACAAGCAGGTGGCAGATGATTCAGTCGCAGTCACCGGCGTGGCCGCGGCATCTCGATCAGCAGAGGGGTCTTGCCTGGGCGGAACACGACCTGCTAGCTGCTAACTTCGTCATTGCGTTGAGAACTGTTAAAAGCCACACACAGCTGCATTGAGCTGGATAATTACCATAGCGCATGCGCGCAACCGCGAAACATGGCACTGCAGTAGATGAGGCCGGCAATGGCACCGTGAAGGTCATCAAGGCCCTGCTGATATCAGTACAATACTCCAATACCAATGGCAAAGGTGTGTGGCGCCGGCATCACCTGAAGCCTCATAGCGAATCAGAGATGAAAGTCCCTGCGCCAGGAGCAGAGACTCTTCGCCTCAGAGCCCGATCCACAGTGACCCGCATGCAAGATGGACTTTTCAGGGCCAGGCTCTCCGCACAGTTGGAGCCAGTGAGGCAGTCGTGAGGCGATGTCAGTATCGTGTTTAATCCTGGTCGTGTCTTGTAAAGGGTGGCCTGTTTCACGACCTTTACGTCTTCCATCTCGGCTGTCGTTGCATGCTTCATCATCCGTCGATCCCTTGCTGAGGTGGTTTGGAAACAAGGGAAATGTTCCACTGGATTCCGCGGAAGGCAAGAAGTGGACGACGCTTCAGCTGCAGGCAGCTGACTCGACGCTGTCCTACGCGGATCAATTTTTAGTTTCAGACCGGGATAATTGATTCCCGAGGAACGAGAACTGGCTGAAGTCTCGCTTCCATTTCAACTTCGCAGAATACCACGGTGGTGCCTCGGCTTCAAATTCCACGGAGGGCCCCCATCGGCGCATCACATCGAGCTTGTTGCCGCGTTGGCTCCCAAAATCCTTTGAATCGTTTGCATCATGTCGATGGTCATATCGATCAACTACCCATCTAAGGCCCATCCAGCTTCGGCGTCTTGCGTGTGATGAGTCTGGATCAAGCTTAGACATGTTGTTGGCCTTCTTTAGTTGCACTGCTGGAGATTCTAGTCTGTGTCTGCCGAGGAATGATGACTTGGTGCAACCACGCCGTGGCTTCGGCGCACACCCTCACAGGGACATGGACTCTTGGACAGATTTGCGCGAGATTAATGTCAATGTCGTGCAACCGAAACTCTTGGATGTTCACCCCAAGCTTTCAACTGCTCGATGGCCCCCCAAAAAAATCGCGAAAAGGAGATCATGACTTTCATTATCGATGGTTTCCTGACGCACAAGGACGGCAGACATTTCTGGGTGCGTCGAATCGACATGGCCATTTCAGTTCCAGCATGCTCCCTTATCGCTTCCAGGACTCCATGGGGACCGAGGAGACTTTGGGCCGTGGTTCCGTTCAGCTTCCCAGCACAAAGATAGTGAAGCCGTGTCTTCTTCCCATGATCGTGCTCGGTGCGAGCACGGGCACTGGGCTACCGTACGTTTGTTGCACTGCAGAGCCAGGAGCACACGAATTGGATTTGGAACTGAGGTTCATGACTGCCGGTACCGGGATCCGGCACTCAGAGCACAACCTCAAAGACGAGCCCTTGCGATTTGTGCAATGCTGGGTGGTGCCACGCAGGCTCGGCAGCCGGCGTCGGCTACGATTATGCATTTTATCGGACCAGCTACACTGTGTAGCGCAGTCAAACACTTCACATACGTACGGCTTTGCGAGCAGAGTGTTGTGATATTCGGAGAGGCGATAAACCTTCCCCCTCATAGGCGATGGGCCGCATCACATCGCTGAAGCCCGCCCCCCTCATTAGCGGAGGGCAATTGATTGCATGTTTGTAACCCAAGGTTTAAATATCTAAATTGCCAAATGTGTACAGGGGTTCCACGCGGTCTCAGCAGCCCCCTCAATAAACGACGGCAGTGAATCGCGTTTCTTGAACCTGCCCCCTCATTAAACAATGACGGTTGTTGATGGAGGCTCTTGAGCCCCCTCAGCAGGCGATGGCCGTTGCTCACATTCCTCAAGCCCGTCCACCCCGCACCCCATTAAACGATGGGTTGATCGCCAACTGTTAACCCACCCCCGCACAGGCTATGCCAGTTGATCAATTGCATGTCCGTGTCCCGCACCCTCATTACGCGGTCACGGTTGATCACCAGTTCTTAAGCCCATCTGAGCTTCCCCCCCCCCCCCGGGGTCAGGCGAATGGCGCTTGATGACATTGTTTGAACGCTCCCCTTTAATCTCCAAGTCCCTGGAGCCCTGAACCTATGGAAGTACCGATATCTTTCCTGTGCCTGCAAAAAGGTTATGAGCCAAGAACCTCAGGGGTTTTTGGGTGTAGCTGGGTTCTGGCTTGCCCGCTTGCGCGAGAGCGCCAAGCAGGAGAGCCTCTCAACTCTAAGACCTCAGTCCGTAGTTTAAGTCGAGTGCACAAGCCGTGATGCAAAGGGGTATACTAGTATACTGTAGGGTTTCTTCCGAACCTGAGAGATCTCAACCCTGAACCCCCTTGTCAGGCGGGGGTTCCCCCCAAACTACGGATCCATGTCCGGTGGACCGGAGGAGCATGGCCGAAGAAGTTGGGGTTTTGTTTAGGGCTCCAGGGTTTGCAGCTCAGGGCTTGCACTCAGGTTTAGTTGATGCTTTGGGCTTTGGCTTTCTTTCAGTAGGGCGTAGGTTTCGGGCTTGGTAGACGTTTTGGGGTTCAAGGGTTCGCGGTTCTAGGTTTGGCGGGAGCTTGGTGCAGATCACAAGGTTTTGCGGGCCTGAAACCGTGGAACCACGCTGCCAAGCTTCCTTTCCAGACCGGTTCAGTTGTGTGATGTTGCGTGTATACTGGATGCATCCTCAATTTGGCCAGTGCCAGTCCCACGCTCAAAGACGGTTAAACTCACCTGAAAAATGGGAGTCTGGGAGTAGTGGGAAGTGCACACGCACACCCCACCTGAAGCAATGACAGTCTAGTCTGGGAGTAGTGAGTATAGTGGCACGTGCACACGCACACCTCCAATGCCCAGGCGGAGGCAGCAAGGAGAGACCAGCCCCATGGCGGCATTCGTGGGCAAGCAGCTGACGTTGCACAGTTGCTGATCTTTTCCTGCAGGGGGCTTTGGATGCATGTGCCTGTGGCCAGGTGGGCTCATGTGGTTTCGGACGCTGAAGGGCCGACAAAGGCCGCAGTGCAGATTCAGCAAGATTGCCGGAAACCTAGAGCCGGACGCGGACCGTTGCTATTGCTCAAGAGGCAAGGGTATTATTATTATTAGTAGTAGTAGTATTTTTTTTTTTTGGGGGGGGGGGGGGTGGCTTTCCATGAAATTCTTGAGGTGTGCATTACTTTCGATGGATGTATGCCTGTGAGTTGCATGCCAAACAATCCGAACAATCTGCTCCAGAGCCTGTTGGCCTTTAGCCCTCGTGGCCGCTGGTTGGAATTATAATTTGTTTTGCACACCGAGCCCTATACCTCACTCTCAACCCCTCCGCAAAACCCTAAGCCTAACCGCCTAACCCTCATAATTTTGCCGGCTGAGGCAACGTCTTCCTGACCGAACTCAGCCCGTCCAAAAGCCCTCCGGCGCTGGCACTGGTGACCCATCCGAGTTTAGCGTTTAGTTGCAGGGTTGGGGCCTACGTAAGTTGTGCGGTTTGGGAAGCACGGAGACCAGGTCATGTATTCAGAAATTCAATGATGCTGGTGGTATCGTTGTAACAGTCAACAGCCCGAAGAACCTTGTGTACGGCGACTGCTGTCTTGAGTTTGCAAATCCACGCCGCCCAGGATGCGGGACGACAGGGCTTCTTGGCTTCAGCTTTGCCTTTGTGACAGATGCCCGCAGCCAGTGCTAAACGCCAAGGCTACATGCTCTGTGTCGAGGGCTCGGCCAAGCTTACAGATGGCAGTGGCAAGGCCGGCAAGTTGATGGATTCTGCGGGCTATGTTCACTTCCTCCACGTGCTGCTTGTTCGGCGGTGTCGGGCCGGGCCGTCCGAAGGTGCACGATCTACAGCGACACGACGGGATCGAGCTGCTGCTCAGAAGCACGAACAGCCACATGTGCAACTTCGTGTAGACCTCTGAATTGGGCAACCCTCGCCATAGCCCCATGTAAAACCCTGCAGAAAGCACCAGCCATGCCGGCAAAAACCCAGCAAGCGACATGCAGCAATCGTGTGGCTTGTGGCGCCTCAGGGTTACGGCTATGTCTTGGAAGGCTCAGCTTCTCTATATACTATCCGCGACGCTCACAAGGGTATTTCGCAGCAGTTTCCTGCCTCTTGCAAGGAAGGGGCCTCTGTCCTTGGATCCCACGGCCGGCGCCAGCAAGCTGCACTTGGTTGACCCGGGTTCGGGGAAAGGGGTTCGAACAAGGATCCTTTTTTGAGGACAGATGGTCAGGGCAGATCTAAGCGGGAGCTGGAGCGATGGTAATCCAAGAGCCTCCAGTTGGCCCACGCACCCATCCCAAAAGATTAGCAAGTTGTCTTATGATGTCAGAGCTTGCAAAGCGTCGGGCCCTGCCCCACTTGTCAGCTACTCCATCATTGAGGTGATGCAGGGTGTATACATAACAGGCACTCTTTGCACCTTTGAGCTTGAGCTGTCTGGCTATGTCAGTCTACATGTACAAGTTTATATAGTTACATACTACATATGCATCAGTTCTATGTATATATGGTCAAAGAGAGATATATAGTTATCTACATATCTACATAGCTACATGTCTCTCTCTCTCTCTATATATATATATATACACATATATATGTACACACGCATATATATATATATATAAGTATATATATTTATTTATTTATGTATGTATATGACATGAATGAATGAGATGAAGGTGCAACGCCGGGTCTGCAGGGCAAGACGGATCTCTGCTCAATCTGCTCCTTTGCTCAGGCCGCCGGCTCCATGCTGCTTCTCTTCGAGATGCAGGAGACATAGAAAAGGGGAGTCTCCTAGAGCCCTCTTAAGTTTCTTCCGCAATGCTCCAGTTTATCCTGACCCAGGAGGCCAAGCGGAAGCAATTGGGGGATCCTACATTCCGACATTAAACCCTCCTTGCCTGCTGTGTGCGAGTGTGAGCGTCGAAAGGCCCTAAACCCCCATAGAGCGTGAGCGCCGAAGCACGAAGCCCTCTCTGAGTGTCTAGACTTACTGACTGCCGTTACTGCGTTTCTTTGTGGCTCGATATGGAAGTGCATCTCGCTTCAAGCCGACTGCGAACAGAGAGACCTCGTCTGGCACGTCCGAGTTGAGAGCCTGTACATACTCACCCGAGAGCATCCCTTATACAACACTCATGAGGAGACTTCAGACAGCCGCCGAGATGCCTGGTGAGAACAGCCAGAAAATTTGACGGAATTCTGCCCTGGACATAGGATGGGCAGCTTCCGTTCTTATCGGGCCTTGTCTGGTCACTGCCTGGTGTTGTGTTGCTCTGAAAACGTAGCAACTACGATGACTGTGCTATGTGGGAGTTGGAGTAGTGGTATTCGTCGTCGTCGTAGTAGCTGTAGTAGCAGCAGCACTAGGAGGAAGAGGAGTGCTTACTATAAATACTCGGGTTAGCAAAGTCGTCAACATGAATACTCTGACGTAGCATTGCCTTAACATTCACTACTCCTGTTCTGGGAGACGGTTGCCTGTCCTGTTACGTGATAAGGTCGTATTATGACAAGTACGCAACCATGCCAGAAAGGCAACTACGAAGCGGACATCAAATAGAAAGCGAAATGGTGCCGGCAAGGCCCGACAGCCGTTGATTTGGCCAGCGCTGACAAGAGTGCCCGAAGATGGCATAGCCACGCGGTCAGCTACACTTGACGCATCTGTACAGTTTCGTTAAGCTCGCCTGCTCCCCTTGAAGCCTGCTGTGCGAAAGGTCCCAACATGTCATGTTTCCACCGTTTTTCGAATTGTTAATTACAGGATGCGGGATCAATGGTAACGCCTTCCGTTGCTCCTGGGTGTCTGTGGGGAGGCTTTTCCGGCTCCATGCTTTGCCCCCGTGCTGCTCCAATTGGACGGCGTTTTGCAAGCATGACAGCGCTTTCGGCCAGACCCGCGTCGCAGAGTTAAAAGGGCCGCTGGTAAATCTCCCAGTGCGATCTCGCCGAATGCACTACTGAGCACTGTTGTGCAGCAGAAGAGATAAAGATAGTCCCCTATTTTCGGAAACTCCCATATCATCCCTGTGCTCAGATTCTTAAAGATAGTATACAGGGGATTGGGCAGGAACTTTGCTGTCCTCCCTCCTGCTCGCAATGCTGTGGCCGACACTCGTCTCCAAGTCTCAAGTGGAATGCAGGAAGGCAGAGGCCTCAATGGTTAGAATAGGGTTTGGGGGTATGCTGTCGCATATACATTATACGGAACCCCTAGGGAAGAAAATCAGCTGTTGTGATATATCATACACTATCTACTAGATTTGATGTATACATACATACATCGAAGATATCACAAGTTTTTTATTGCATATCAGTTCAGGTATCTCGGGTTCCACACCTTTCTGATCGGCCGCAATCTGACCACCATCGAAGCTCGTCTTAGATGCTATTGATGGCGAGTGAACTCGGGTGGCTTGGGAAGACGCAGGCACTGTGAACTGCTCAGGAGTTTCTGGAAACTCGTGATCTCTTTCCTGGCTTCTCCAAGCAGCTCAGATGCATTCATATATATGTATAGAGTAAAAATACAACTATTCAACCATGTATTGGTAAATGTGTATATACATATATATATATATATATATATATATGTGATGTTGATGATATATGTACATACGTTGGAGAATGTCATATGTTGCCATAAAGCGGTGGCACAGTAGATGATGAGCCATGATCTCTTCAAGGTACGATGAGGGCCTCTATAGCAACATCCAGTGTGCCAGAATCTTGGGAGCGTCTCGTGCTTGCAGCGTCCATGCGTGTGTGCAGACACTAGTATGTGACTGTCATGTGGTTGTTTTCCATTGCAATGCTGTCATGCTGAGCCGCGCTTTCGTCGTGCAGCTTGCTCAAGCTTACATAGAAGCTTCACAAGCTCGGATATTGGCGTTTCTGTTCGCTTTGAAGGCGGCCATGGGGTACCCGTCCGGTGGTAAGGGCAAGGGAGGCCATATGGGAGCCTATCCGCAGATTGGCGCAACTCGTCGGAATTCGAGCTGCGGCATATTGCCTACCAGTAGCGGGGTCGCCGCCTCCGCATCGTTCGCATGATGTGACATGAACTGAGGTGAATACGGAGTCTCTTCCTCAGCGTCCTGCTCCGCAGCAGCCTGAGATGAAGGCGGACGTTGACTCAGAAGATTGGAAAGCTCAGATTCGCCGCCCGCCCCCAGACCAGCGCTACAAGACGGAGGATGTTACGGCCACGAAAGGCAATGAGTTTGAAGATTACTTCTTGAAGAGGGAGCTGCTGATGGGCATCTTCGAAATGGGCTACGAGAAGCCCTCCCCCATTCAGGAGGAAAGCTTGCCAGTTGCTTTGACAGGCAAGTCCATTCTTGCCCGAGCCAAAAACGGCACCGGAAAAACCGGAGCCTTTGTTATTCCGATTCTTGAAAAGTGCAACACCACGAAGAATGCAATCCAAGGGCTCATTCTTGTGCCCACGCGAGAGTTAGCATTGCAGACTTCTTCAGTGGTCAAGGAAATCGGCAAGCACATGAACGTCCAATGCATGGTCTCTACAGGTGGAACAAGCCTCCGCGAAGACATCATGCGTCTTTACAACGAGGTTCGCGGCGGGGGCAGGGCAAGTGAGAAGTGTAATGCATGCGGTCATTCTTGAGACATACCCTTTGTTTGGTTGGGATTCAGCAGAAGTCGTTTGCCCCTTCCCGCCACCACTCAGGTGCACATCGTCGTCGCAACACCGGGCCGTGTGTTAGATCTTGCAAACAAGAATGTGTGCAACTTGAAGCAGTGCTCCATCGTTGCCATGGACGAAGCTGACAAGCTACTGTGCCCCGAGTTCAAACCCATTATCGAGGACCTCATTAAGTTCCTTCCTCAAGACAGGCAGATTCTGATGTACTCCGCGACGTTCCCCATCGCCATCTTGGATTTCAAGAACAGCTTCATGCAGGATGCCCATGAGATCAACCTTATGGACGAGCTGACGCTGAAGGGGGTGTCTCAGTTCTACGCTTTCGTGGAGGAGCGTCAGAAGGCCTGACGTTGGGTAGGACACCGTCCTCTCTTCCCACCCATCTACACGCACTAACGTAGGCTTAAAGGAGCCTCCAATGGCATACTTCAACTAGTTGCACAGTCCTGGGCCCTCACCAAAGACCCGCCCATACCCTCACGTACACCCACACGCCCCACACCCAGACATCCACCTGCCCACCCACCCTCCCAGTTCATACGGTCATAAGCATATGCATACGCACGCGCATACCACGAACGAGGGGCTGCAAGGAGGCTAGGATGCGGCCAGGGAGAGCTGCTTGTAGTGTTCCGTCCAAGACCACAGTCAGCCTGCAAGAATGTCGCTCAAGTGGCTAGTTGCATGCAGCCGCTTCCGACACGATTTGTGCTGCTGATTGCATCGCACAGGTTCACTGCCTCAACACCCTCTTCTCCAAGCTGCAGATCAACCAGGCAATCATCTTTTGCAACTCCGTGACCCGAGTGGAGCTGCTTGCGAAGAAGATCACGGAGTTGGGTTACTCCTGCTTCTGGGCTTTGGCGTACCATACCTTAAGACTTTTTTGGGGCCTGTTACTTAAAGGGAACCAATCATGAAATAATTCAAAAAACTTTTTCCCTGGCTACTTCAAAGCCCAGGCTTCTTTATCCACTCCCGGATGTACCAGTCCCACAGGAACCGAGTGTTCCATGACTTCCGCAACGGAGCTTGCCGGTGTCTGGTTTCGTCTGACCTGTTCACGCGTGGCATCGACATCCAGTCCGTGAACGTTGTGATCAATTTCGACTTCCCCAAGAACTCCGAGACCTACCTTCACCGCATTGGCCGCTCTGGCCGTTTCGGTCACCTTGGCTTGGGCATCAATTTTGTGACTTACGAGGACCGCTTCAACTTGTACCGTGTCGAGAAGGAGTTGGGCACGGAGATCCAGCCCATCCCGCCGACCATTGATCCGGCGACCTACACCTAGGGCCAGGGCTACAAAGACTTTGACAAAGACCATTCTTTGCCTTATGAGATCACGGTTGACTTGTGAGTTCCCCGTAATCAGACAGGCTCTTGCATGGTATCACATGCAAGGCTAAGATGCAGAGATTTTGTCGAGCCAGTCCATGCATCGGGCTTCAGTGGCATGATGACAAAAGAACCGCAAACCTTTGAAGTTACAAGACAAAGGCCAAACAAGTGAACCTCACTGGCCAGCTAGAATTTCAGCTGTTCCATCCTCAGCATAGGGGTCGGAACACTTAGCGCTACTTCCATACTAAATTTAGAGTAACGTACTCCAAACACTATTTGCATACTTGAGGCTCACATATTATTTGCCCTCGGTTCTTTTACAGTTCCCTAGGGTTTCACCGGCGCGGTTCTCACCGGAGCTCCCAGACGGCCCACACAGGCTGGTGATCAAAAAAGACTCTCAGGGTTTAGCATGCTGGATGTAGGGTTGCGGATAAAGAGTCTAGGCCTTGGGTCGAAGGGTATCAAGAGGGCCTATAAGGCATAGGGTCGGCTTCAGGGCCTCTGATTGTGGAGAGTCTCTTGGTCGCTTCACGTGATCATGTATGACTCCGTTCATTCCTGGGATCTTGTTGACAAACCTGAACAAGAACCCGAAGAAACCATATTCATGACTATAGATCCGTGTTATGGGAACATAAGCCTTAACAAGAATCCAGATTCAGGTCCTGGGCGACTCGTGGCCGCTCTGGCTTCTTCCCATGGCCGGTCCCAGCGGAACCGGATTAGCCGCCTGATTAAATCGGCAAGGGATGGCTTGGAGGCTCATGGGTAGTTGTTTTTTTGTGGAGTTATGAGCAAGGTAACTGTACTTATAACTCATATTATTAGGGGACTGTTTTAGCCCAGTTTTCACTGCCCATGAACATCCACGCAGCTGTGAGATTTGCCTTTCAGCTTAGCTTGTTGAACCCTTTAGAGTTGTGCCTGCAAGTCAAGGCTGCTGGCATTCGTGAGAGTCCTGTAAAAAAAGTCAAGTCACTCAGAACTGTTTCCTACGTGCTTTTGATACAAAAGCTTTATGACACTTGTTCGTGCGGGCCTATGTAGCATCATTACGGGGCCCCACTTGCACATACATGGGTATACACGTGTACACACATACACGCACACGCACACATACGTGCATACACAGCTGATGTATGTATTTGTCCGGAACTATCTGCTTATTGTGTGTGTGTGTGTAGAACAAAGCTGGCATATATGGAACAAAGCAAGTGATGCGTACAGACACAAGTTGGGCAGACACCCGGAACAGGGCCCTGTCATTTGGATGGGCAGCTGCCAGTCAGGAGTGGGCGTCACACTGTCTAGGCTAGTTTACTTTAGCCATCTGCAGCTCGCGAGCCTAAGGAATGGGGGGTCGCAGAGACCCAGACCGAGGCAAGGGAATGCTCGTCTTTTCAGTTTCGTTGCACCGATGTGCCAGTGAGGGATTCCTGTCCTTCACGAAACTACGGGAAGACGCTCCGGCTGCAGTGGGAAGTGTCCGAACACATCGGCTTAGCTGCTGCGGAGTCAAGCAAGCCGAGAGTTCAGCCAAGGATGATGATGCTCCGGCAGAGGCAGGGTCGCATGTTCAGTGGCTCCATTCAGGAAGCCAACCTTCAGAAGCAGAGTCGGATCGATGTGAATGCTCCATCCGAAAACAAACCGGTGGTGGCGGTGGTGGTGGTGGTGGTGGTGGTGGTGGTGTGACTGGTGACGGTGGGGATATGTAGCCGTGATGAAGGAACTTGCTTAGCCACATAGCCAGGAGCTTTCATCCAGAACAGCAGCAAGCTCGGCCTCCGGTGAGCAGGTCCAGAGCCATGTTCCAGACTTGACTGGCATGCGCGTGCAGTAGGAGCCGAAAACTGCTGCAGGTTTGTCAAGTTCTGGGATAAATGGCGCTGCCTTGCGCTTGGATTTGCGGGATCAGTTGCCACCCATGCTCCCCATCGCAGTGATCCCCAACGCATATCCGCTTGGCAGCTCCCCATGACTCTGAGGTGGTGAGCATACCATTTTGCACTTGGAGGTTCGTGGATAGTTGTTTAAGTGGAGTTATAAGCAGGCAAACTGTAATTATAACCCATACTAGGGGACCTATAACCCCACTTGCAACTACCCATGAATCTCCAAGTAGAGCACAGGACTGACAGACCCGAGCGTAGCTTGCCAGGCGGCGGGCTTCGACTGCATGACTCGCTGGGCCACCGGAGGTGCAATGGCCTTGGAGGCACCACTGCAGAAGGAGAGTAGTTGGCTTCAAAATCAATATCTTGCGTTTCAGGCTAATGTCGTTGATTTGTTACTTCTGACTGGGAGAAGTAGCCTAACACCCTTGCAGCAATCCGTCCAGTCCTCTTTAGATCCTTCGTTTGCCTTTGGGAGGTGCTGGCATGCGACTCTTGGCAGTCCTTGTCTCAAACTGTGGCGGCTCTGGCCAGCTACTGCGGAGGCTTGCCAAATACCTGGAGCTTTGAGTGGTGTCATAACCCGGGAGGAACCCCAAACCAGCCCTTCAACCCTACCTAAACCCTAAACCCTAAACCCTATACCCTGACTCTGGGAGATGATGTTTGTGTCTGCTCTTCAGCTCGTTTCCGGCGAGGTCTTTCAACAAGCAAGAAGCCCCGGCAACTCGAGTCCGAAAGGGGACACCGAGATTGCCGAAACAAGCCTGCGACGATATTCCTAAATCCAAAGAGGCAGTAGGGCCCATACCCTAAGATATTTAGCCACCCTCCAGGCCTACCCCTACCCACAGTCGCCAACCAAACAGACCCGAGGACCCTTGCAGAGGTCTTCCGGCCCAGCGGCTTGATGTGACCAGCGGCATAGGGATGCAGGACGGGAAGGGTAAGAAGACTAATATAGGGCAGCCGAAGAAGAATGGCAATAGTACCAATAGCATCAATGACAGTTGTAATGAAAGATGTGTAAAGTGGGGTTATAAGTCCCTGAATCTGATAATAAGAAGAAGGACAAGAACGACAGTAGTACATGCCTGGTATGTGCCTACATACAACAATAAGCATCAGCTGTTCAGCTGGCTGCTGTTTCCCTTACGAAAGTGCCGGCAGCAACAAGGCGACGGCGTGACCGAGGCCTAAGGAAGTGTCGGGACGCTCCTTATTACGCGTTCCGCGACGTGCTCAAAAAGGAGCGCATGGAAGGGCTTGGAGGGCCTTATACCCGAAACAAGTGAGACAGAGACAACCAGCTGCTAGCGGCTAGCTAGATTAAATGTTGTTGCACAGCTCGAGTTGTTGTGAGAATTCAGACTTTTGGTTTGCGAAGGCTGTTATTATGGGAAGTTTGTTTGGAGGGGAGGGGAAATTCATGTAGGTTGTGGTTTCTCGTCGAGGCTGATTAAGCAGTTGCTGGTGGGAAGGGCTGAACGCCGTCCCCGGACATCAGAACATCCCTGCAAGACAGGAGCTATGCATATGCACTAGCAGAGACATGCATGAATGCACATGACATGCACGCGCACCATGTGCTTCCGCAGCCCTGCCGTGTCCTTTCGACGGACTTGCTGCTGCACCCTCCGAGGTTCAAGCGAAAGCACACGAACTTTCGCACGCAGCTTTGCTGCAGACATGGGCAGGATCCGGCTGCTGTTGCAGTACTTAAATGGACTAGTTGAGGAGTTGCTGGTGCACTCATACCCGAAAACACCCAGCCCACAACGCGCAAGCTTGTCTCATGTCCCCCCATGGTCTGGTGGTAGCCAAAAAGTGAGCGTAGACCCTGTCCTTGTCCAATGCTCCCAACTTGTCCCAACCCTGCAAGAACCCAGGCAGTGGTCATTCCCGGATGACTTCCCATCAGCTGCAGTCATCGATGCCTTTCATCGCCCAGAGGCCTGACGGAAGTGCAGCTCATACAGGTTATGTGTTTTGCATGAAATCCCCTCTGGTGTGAACGTGTGAACGCCTGACTTCTGTTTTGTCGTACGGATGCGACAGAGAAGTTTAACGGCCGTGGGAACACAGGCGCTTGCTGCTTGCTGCTAGCTCGCGGATGACGGGTGTGGTGGTGATGATGGTGATTTTATGAATCTTTTGACAACTGTTTGTTTCATGCTGGTTGAGCCATACGGCTTGTCACTAGAAATGTCCCTATATGTATCACAAGGAGTCGGGTCATGATTATAAGTAGGTATGTAATTATGTGTATATGCATGTACGTTAATATTCATATGTATGTGTATGCACAGTACGCATGTATGTCCGTAGATACACATATGTTCTGCTGAAACTTAGTTCTTCTTTAGCTCCCAGACCCCCCCGGGAGGATCTAGAAAGCAGATCCCCTAATTTGGGGCCCTATACTACTAAGGGTACTTTACAGGAACCCCCATTAAGGGATCTACTTTTGGGATCCTCCCGAAATTTCTGGGCTCTTATCCTCAATCCAAGAGGTGGACCGGAGCCTCGAGCCCTTTGCCTGGGCTCCTGTTGATCTTCGACGCGCCGTCGCCGGGGCCTTGGGTATCAGTTGGGGATTTCGATGATATTTGTGGGAGGATCTAAGGTGTGGAATCAGGTATATTGGTGTGTGCAGACCTTCAAGGCTGCTTAGCATTTGGAGGCAGGGCTGAGGGCACGTGCAATCGGCCTTTCGTTTCAAATATTCTTCAGGAAGTCGGTGATAAGGGTTCTTTGGTGGATATTAGGCAGGGCAGCATGCAAGTTTTCCGACGGCACACTGGGAACAATGCTTCCCATCTTCCAGCAGAAGGTTTTGTTTCCTCCGTGCAGACTCTTCGCTGTTGATGCGCACTCAAGCATTTCAGATACCCTGCATGGCCCGAAATTGTTCCTGCTAGCCACAAAACGAAGCGTGTTGCTGCATCAAGTCAAGCAAGGGAAGCTCTCTAGGCATCGGCATTCACCGGCTGGCTGCACGCAAGGAAGCCTGTTAGGTGCAAGCGCATAAACCAACAGCCTGCGATGTAGGTTTCATCAAGTGCTCACCAGCTTTATTGAAGCACCGTCTGGATGCCAATGAGATGGTTGCCTCAAGCATGACTGGCTTGGCTGGTTCGGTTGGTGGTCACGGCTAGCTTCAGTCTTAGATTCTTCAAACCCACAATGCTTACTGCCCTCCAGGAACAGTGAACTGGGTTTCGGTTCAACGAACGCTCGGGTCAGTTCAATGGAGCGGTGATTCCAAACCACCCATTTGGGTTCACTGAATGTCCTTTTTGTTTTACTATTGCTTAGTTCGGGATGCGTAAAGCGTAGAAGATACCATCTGCGGCTAACATCTGTAGCATGTGGTCAGACTGGCTTTCCTGACAAAAAAATCTGCAACCCCTGGATTGAATCCAGGTACAGCTGCAGAAGTCCTGCGATTTGACAGAGGCCAAGATTGCTGCTTAAAAGGTCCATACCGCCTGCTGAGGCATCGAATTATTCATTTTAAGCTCTGATCGCCGTACCCGAGTTCGATGTAGATGACAGTCCTGCCGTCTCTATGTTGTTGGAGTAGTTTTGGGGTTTCGGGTGCGGTGAAGGACCATAAGGGCTACGACAAGGGTAGCTACAAGTGTTACATTGAGGGTTTACTGTTTACCATAAACGGTTTCGAGCTCAGGTAGTGATGAGTGTGCTGTAGTGTTGTCCCAGCAGTGGGACCCAGTCATTGGCGGCGGCCGGCCACAGCCTGTAGCCACTGCTTATAGCCCCTCCTCCTTCGTTCAGCAGCTGAGTGGTCGGAGGTTTCTGCGGTTTGGAATAATCGCTGAAGCCCAAAAATGCTAATCTCCGAAGACCCTTAATCCTTGCAGTGCTTCAGTTACTCACTTTTCCCATGCTTTGCAGGAAAAGATCCTAGAGCGACTGGAGCCAGCTGTGCGACGTTACGAGGCCGAGCTCTTGCATTCGACGTGACCGTGTTGCCGCCTTGCGGTTTGTTTCTTTCTGGCTTCATTGCCGAAAGGGCTATGCTAGACGGGAAGCAGGAGCTGCTCAAACGAGCAAAAGGCTGAGCAAAATGAGCAGCCGCAGCGGTCGACTGCCGCCACGAGCTTGCAAATCGGATCTGAAGAGCAGTCGGTGTCGGCCAGAGTCATGTTGTTAACCCATGCCTTGGATCTGGATCGCTCTTTCGTGAGCAACAAGACAAACCTGACATCCCAACCTGCCCAGATTACAATGTTGCACCGGATGGGCTCCGAGAAGCTCATACGCCTAATAGGGCTGGCTCTGAAGAGACATTTTGGTTCTTGCCACTTTATCCTCCGCTTGTGTTGCACCAAGTGGGTTGAGCAGACACAAAATTGCAGGGATTTCGGGGGCCAGCCTCTTAAGCCACTCACGAGGCTCTCCCCTGTTTGCTAGGATACGCTTCGCCAACCTCGCATCACTGAGCCTCAGCTTGACCAGTGTGGTTTAAGGGCTGACTCAATGGCTTGTGTGTGATGTTTGTCAGCCACCGACATGGCTACTTTTGGCAGCAAGACAGCCTCGTAGATTTGGCTGATGCATCAGATGATACTCTGAGCTGAGGAGTACATGATTCCGTCGGATGCTGGCGACGTGGCTGTGGTCCGGTCAAGCCGGATGCAACGGGCGCCTGGGATTTTACTTGAAAGTCACTCTTTAGTTCTGAGCCATTCTGCCGAACCCCGTTTCAGAAACCAAGGACCCTAACTGGCCTTAATCTTCGGCCCGAAATAGTAGGATCCCGATTACGAAGGCTCAGAATAGCAGGGATTGCGCGGCCGAGGCATTGCGTGGGCTCCGCGGTGAGTCGCCAGAGCCCGAAGACGAGGGCCAGGCTGCAGACGCCGGTGAGGCAGAAGCAGAAGGCACAGAGGGCTGAGGCTTTAAAACTTCGATCTCTGTCCTGCTTCATTTAGGGTTCCCTGCAGTGTCTATTTATTGGAATTTATGGGGTTTTGTTGTCATGTGTCCCGCTCTCTTTATGTTTCACAAAACCAAGCTGACCGAAGACCACTTGCCTTGTCGGAGCGTGAGCGCCGAAGCCCCCAAGGTCTAGGGTATAACTTTTTGGACGGGTGATCGGCAGGAATGAGGCCCGGATGCAGAAAGGGCTCCTGTAGAGGGGTCGGAAAACTTAATAAAAATATGCCCTTGCACTCTCTATACAAGTGTAGTATAGCATACCCCCGAAACACCACATCTTTCTACTTATTCAGGGGATTTATGGTATCATTGTGCATTCTAGGTTTCGGGGGCTGTATACTAAACGTATGGAGCAACTCCCAGGAAGAACGCGAACATGCAAGTATGTAAGGATCCCCAACATGTGGGGTGTTACGGTTGTATTAGAGAGCAGCAGAGTTTCAATGGAGTTTTGCGGAGGCCAATCTCGGCGCAGGCGACGGCGAAATGGGGATGTGGAGGCGCTTGCATTGTGCACGAACATGAACTGCTAAACCAAGCGGGAAAAGGTTTAAGGTTTAGCTCGTTTTCCCTCGCTCTCTCTTTTTTTTTTCTCTCTCTCTCTCTCTCTCTTCCTCTTCCTCTGTCTCTCTAGCGGCCCTCAATACCATACAGTCTTAACACTTATCGCTCGCAGGGCGAGACCGCGAGAAGTCAATGACACCCCGATACATCTGTCTTCGACAATCCTGAAGCCATCAACCACCAAAATGTGTACACCCGGGACCTGCATCCTGACCATTCACACGCCGCGAGAGTTCAAGTGCGAGAGGGCCAACAAAAGGGGAAGTGCAAAACTCCACGGTCTGGGCCCAAGCTCGGGGCAGCATCGGTGAGCCAAAGCATTGACCTGCACGATCAATGGAGCTGGGGTAGAGTTACAACCGAGGATGTTCGCAGCAGTAGC